TTGGGTAGAGAATTGTTCTTAATACCTCATCAAATTAATTATCTTGAATGCAAAATACTCTCTAGCCACATGATATGGGTAATATACCTTATGTGTTAAAGTATTTCCAGCAGTAAACCATCTTCTCTTCCAAGCTCCACTTAGCAGGGTCTGCCTCATTAGCAAAAAATATGAAGCAAGCATCTATTAAGCTGCTGTTGAAGTTCTTTCTCACAGGAATTTTTAGGAACTTAAGGGTCTGGGAGGCACAGAAAAAAAATGTACAAATGTTGCTACCTGATTTCCAGTATGAGCTCTATGAAGAAAATGAAGGAACTTGACTTGTAGATCAGGCTTGCTTTTGGGGACATCTCTGCTGGTCATAAATCACATAATCTCTGACTGATCAATCCATTTTGGCAAAATTCTGTAATTTGGGCTGGCCTGTAGACATTTCTTACTGTGCAGATAGCTGCTGTTTTCATGGCTTTGAGAGGGTGTGAATTGCTCCTGCTTCTCCCAGTGGGTTGCTCTGGCCCAATGCTATGACTCAGGGATGGTTGGGTAAATGCTTTACTAAGGGAGACTGAAGTTGAAAATTTTTACTATTATTATGTGGCTTTATTTTTCCTAAAAGATAAACTGCTGGTTCCTTAGAGTCCCCCAAAACTGGCCTTTGAGATTTACAAAATAAGTCTGTGGTCTCTGAACACCACAAGGAGGGTTGGCAGGTGCTTTGCTTGGTGGCTCCTCTTAGCCTGTAGCCAAAACAGGGTTAGGTTTATGCCATAAGCAGCATGTGTAAGCACAAAACTGGAAAGAGCTTCTGATCCTTACCTGGGCTTCAACACTGGGACAAGCATGCAGTATTTTTGCTTGTGGTATCTCTGGGTGAAATGAGTTATAGGCTAGGTTGTTCACTGTGACAGGAATTTGGAAAAAAATGATGCATATGTAAGTATTGAACAGACCATGTGCAGCCTCTCACGTGGCTGGGCTGGCTCAGTTTTCAGGCTTTTCAATAGCTGCCGTTTCACTGCTATGCAGTAGGTGTGCATTTCTCACCTACCTCTTGTGAAGGACTTCAGAAGTTGAAGAGCAAAGTGATAATATTATTTCAATAGTTATCCGCTGTGCGGCAAGCACTGGCGCTGCATCATAAGAGGAAATAATCAACTTCTACGGCTGCAAAGATGTCATCAACAGAGAGAAGTTCTGGCAGAGACCAATAACCAAAGCAACAGAGTGAGATTTAGGATGGAGCGTGAGCAGTCTGTGAGAGGAATATCATAGCTGGAATACCTGCAATTGCTCACTCCAGCTTAGGTACCTTGGAACAGATTATTCCCCTGAGGCATCTTATAGCTTAGTCTAAATCATAGATAGGCTGAAGTCATCATCGGCTGAAATCAAGGGAAAGCTTCCCATTGGCCTAAATGACATTTGTATCATGGATTTAGTAATCACTTACCACGGGCTGTTAAACTCTCCTTTGGAAAATATAATTACTTTCATTGTTTACGCTACAAATAGGGAATAAAGCTGACCTCTCCATTACACCAACAATAAACATTTTGGGGGTCGTTCCATTCAGGTTTCAGTTTTACTGAGAAACTCCAAGGAAGCTCCGCAGGGGGAAGAAGAAGTATTTTTTGTGCTTTTGTAGTTTCTGGTAAATATAAGATTGATGAAGCGAGCACTGATGTGTTTGCTTTCACACTGAATGTAACTGGGAATTATTTTTCAATGTTTGGCTGACTATGTTGGATTTCAACGTCATGTATTACACCTACAAAATTGGAGAGTTCTTTTAATTCATTGTGTCCTTTGAATAGGCACAAAATGCCTATTTTGATTAATCAAAAAAATAATAGGTGTAAAAAAATTAAGTTCTGGAAAAGTCAGGAAAAAAAAATCTTCAATTATCTTTCTGTTCATTTCAGCCAGTACAATGATTTTAGTCTTTTCCTAAACAACTCAAGAATATCTCTGTAGATATCCTCAAATTACCCAATTTAATCCTTGATTAAAACCACACATGGACATTTCAGACCCCCAGAATAGTACATTTAGGAAGAAATATCCACTTGAGAGTAGAGAGTTAAGTGGCAATGCCATCTAAACGTCACTATCAGCCTTGTGTTTATGCAAGTGGAACGTGGCTGGTTGCTGACTGCAGGATATCCCCAGCTTTCAGAAACCAGTTCACAGTTCCTTCTTAACACACTGGGATGATGGCTTTTCTTTCTGCCAAACTGGAAAGGTGTTACTTTGTGGGATTTTTTACGTGTGTTAAACATAGAATGACTTTTAGGGGAGCACAGGGAAGGGCCTATATCACTTACTTTTACATCTTAAATTGTATCAGAAATCCCATTGACTTAAGTACTAATTTTTCAACAATTAAAAGGAATTTTCAGAGTTAGTATTCAGGTGCTTAGCACATTTTCAAAATTAGACCCATTTAATGGCCTGAGCAATCAGTGCGCCATTAAAAACTGAACTCCAAAAATGCCTCTCATATAAATCCCTACACCTGAGGGTATGGCTGCTCTGCATTTTATTCAAGGTAACAAAACCTGGGTTTCATTCATGTCCTGTAACAATGGTACATTAATTGAGAGGATCAAAAGGATGCTTTCCAAAAGACATTTTTGTTACTGCTGGTGAATTTCTCCCACGTTCCTTCATCCTGGGGCTTTAGAAGGTTCTGGTTGAATTAATGGCGTTGACTTTTTCCTGCTTTGTTTCAAAGGAAGAAATTTTATTTCTGTTTTGATCAGACTTATCAGGTAAACTCTTCTAAATTATGCAAGAGTGCTTGCTAGAGTTCAGATGACAGAGAAGCTTGAAAAGCATTGAGTCAAAACATAGATTTTGTTAAAATAACTGATTTATGTTGTTGCATTTTCTGGTTCTAAAATCAAGTTCAATTTGCTTGATCTTTGCTGGCATTAGTAAACCTACCCTACTGCACCTTCCTTTTCTTACCTGCGTGGCAAAGATTTTGTTTAGTTTAACTTGGGAGTTTCAGGATGTAGAAAATGTACCAGTGGGAGTAAGCAAACAGAGTTCCTCTATGGAGACACAAGAGCTTGATCCTACAGGAATGTCAGCAGGGGCAGGCACTTCACTGTGGTTTCATGAATGTTTCTGCTGACTCGGTTGCAGCAGTGTAACATGAAAGGGGTCTCTGTAGCTGCTGTTGTTACTGGGTTCTCTCTTCCCTGAAGAGGTAGGTAATGAAAGGCAAGACTAGTACATAGTTTAAGACGAATCAAGTTGAGGAATTCTTTCAAAAACTCGGGCTCCCAACGAAGAAAGGGAAACTAAGGCCAAACAGGTCTCTTCCCAGCAGGTAGAGATCCTCACCAGCTCCTTACAGGTCAGTGAAAGTGTGTCCTGCTAATGTAGGCCAATCTCAGAGCTTATCCTTTCTCTCCCAGCTGTCAGGATTTCCTAAATAATTTCCTGAGTAATCCAGCCACAGGCATCAAGAAGAGGAGAGTGGGGAATCATCCAGGCTCTGAGAGGTACAAAAAGGTTTACAGCCTTCTTTAAGGGTTTTTTCTTCTCACTTTTGGTTCTTTCATATCCTCTCCCCTTTGTTTTGTGACTTTCACTGTATAAGGTCCACTTCCTCTCCCAGCAAAGTCATTAGGTTTTGGTCATCCATTCCAGCAGGACCAGGAATAAACTATAATTGCAAAGCTGCACACTTCAGCCTTTTCTTGCCAAGCTGATCTTTCCAAGTGTTAGCTTATTTTTTCTTTTTTTCTTTATTTTTAAAAAGAAAAAATAAGTAAATACATTTGAATAAAAATGGAACTGATTCATTCAACCAGAGGGACATGGTTCATCTGGAGGCATCTCTAGGAAAAGCAAATAATTGAAAAGTTGCATTCAAAAATCATGAGTAAAGATGCTGATGGGTCCTGTTTTTAATCCAGAAATTCATTATTTAAGGGTGTAGCAGACTCAGATTCAGTTCCCTCACCTGCCTGGGAGAATTTGAAGCCATGTCTCTGGCTTCCCAAGGGAGAGCCTGACCTGCAACCAGCTTCTAGAGAGCCCTGGAGGAGAAGCATCCTCCCCTCAGCCCCTCACATGCATTCAGTTCAGGTCTGTATAAATTGACATTTGTTAGGGCAAGGCTCAGAAACCAAGGATATCCTGTTTGGATGAGTGAGTTGGCCATCCTGCTAGAGAGATTCTCATTTCTGCTTCAATAGCTATTGAACTACTTTGTGTCATGCAGGACAGTTGGATCAGGAGGGGCTGGGGGAGTCGTGCCTCCACCATCAGTAACCTTCGACTGTTACCAACTCAAAACCTCCTTAGAAAAGCTCGGTGTCTTCCAGGAGGGAGCCTGATCTGCCTCCCATAGACCTGGGTCTGGGTTATCCAGCAGCCTCTGCACACCACAGCCAGAGACCAGCACAGCTATGCTCCAGTCACATACTCCCTGCAACGGGAGCTTACTTCAACCTGGGTTGTGTGCTGGGAGAGCAGCTGAGCTGCCTGTTCTCACGTTGCATCTACAACGTGGTCTGTCTCTAGCAAGGTTCCTTTGCACCTTATGTTTGTCCTTGGTTCCGAATAATTTCTATAAATTGCTCCTGACCTCAAGTATGAGTCTCCTTCTGACCAAGGTGTGTGTGTGGTTCTCTCTTTTTCCTGTGTATGTCTCCGCTCTCTTTGTGGAGAGGCTGCAGAACGTGCGGTATTTTCTCTAAGACTTCAATACAAAGGGAGACAAATACAAATAAACAAAATAGAGAGGGCTGTATTTAAATTTTGCTAAATGCTTGGCTATAAAAGATTCAGTGAGGACAGTCCCTAACAGATTTTGTCTCAGAATCAGACTGCTGAATTATCTTCATTGTCTCTCTCACCTTTCACTGAAATGTGGTCAAATAAATTGCTTTTTGGCAGCGAGTGTGGGAAGTCACTGCCTGGTTCTTCACTCACAGGCAGTCAGCTGATTCACTTTCCTTTATTTGCTTTACTTCCTTTTGCAGGGAAGGCTGCTTCTCCCCCATCAGCCCGGAGGCATGTCCCCTTGTGCAGTCCTTCATATGCCACAACCGAACGTTCATCCTGGATGGCCACGTGCAGCTGAAGACAGGTCTGCAAACCCAGGAGCGACACCTTTTCCTCTTCACAGACCTTCTGGTTGTTGCCAAGTCCAAGTGAGTATGACACCTCAGGGACTACTCCTACAGAGCAGCCCTTTTTCTCAGCAGAGCATAACATGGATTTCCATAACGCTTTTTTGGTAGGAAATCTTCCCTAAATCATAAGGAAGCTTTTTGGTCAATGGCAGTTAGGTGCCTGACCTCTTCAGGCACCTTTGAAAACCCTGTAGCCATAGAGGAATTTCAGGATGCAACATTTTAACAGAGTATTAGATGTTCTTGAATATATTGCTCACGTTGTATTATCTTCGCTGCTTTGGGAGTGTAGTGTCGTAGAAAAGACTCATTGGTGCTCAACTGTCCTGCCTTCAACTGAGTGTTGTGTTTTAGGCAGGTCATCTTCAGTCCTGTGGGGTGTATGTAACACTGCTGGCTGTGTCACAGAGGGGTTACAGGTCTTAACGCTGCTTGGAAGCCACTTTGATGCATAGCAGTGATGAGCAGCTGCGTGAAAATACAGATTGCAGGCAGCATGGCAGTGTCCATCTCTGCAGGTTGTGCAGTGCCAGGAGGAGCGTGAGGAAGGGGAAGGGAAGGGATGCTGAGCAGTCTGGGTAGTGTTCATGTGTAATCAGGCTTGCTGCTGAGCTCTGATTATTCACTCTACCATTCACAATTAAATCAGATTTACAAACCATGTCTAGCATGCCAGCTTCGTGCAGCATTTGTGGTTTAAGGCAATTTTAGAGGGTGCTTTCACTTGTTGTTACGGAGAAATAATAATAAAAAATCCTGATGCAGTTCCATTCTGTTAGGCACTCTGTGGTTTCACAGGGTGGGTTATCTCAATGTGAATTCTGGGCTTTTGCTATGTGTCTTTTCGCTTAAGCAGTTGTTTCAGAGGCTGCTGGGAAAAGCCAGAATAAATCTGTGTTTTCTGTAGAAATCTGAGCTGTGTCCATTTGAATCACACATGGTAAATGTAACCCCACCAGCTGAACTCCCTCACTTGATGTGGTGTGACAACATGGAGGATATTTTACCCAAAACATGTTCACTATGGGTGGGTGGTGAACATAATGATATTTAGGGAAAATCTTGCTATTCTACCAGCAGTAGCAGTAATAGGAGTTACTGTATTTATTTATATTTGTGTCTTGTTTAGGGTGGTATTTACCTCACCTAATTTAAGCTTCAAAAAGTTAACTATTTGCAACTTGTCTGCTAGGTAAGCTTCTAGGCTTCTCCTATAGTCAGTGAGGGAAAGCTAGCACCTTCCTGCAGCAAACTCAGCTGGTCCTGAAAGTGTTGATGGTGGGTGCGGGGAGCCATGCTCTTGACGGTCTCTCCCTCTGCCTATTCAGTGGGCACAGTCTCACTAGCTTAGGACTAAGCTCCTAAATTGTGGAAGACTAAAGTCAAGTGAGATGAATGTCTCCTCATCTGGCCAGCATGCTGAGCAGAAGCAATTTTACAACCCCAGGCTGAGCTGCACATCACTGCAGGTTTGTCTGGGTTGTAAATTGAACTGTTTGCATAGGAAAGCACTGCTCTGTGTAACCACTCCAAAATCTGAGCCCCAGGGAGTAATAATGGCTCTTAGAGCAGTTGATTTAATGTGGTAAGGAGTCTGCAGTGTTTGAAGAAGGTGAAAGAGAACAAATTGTGCTTCTGCATTTGAAAAAGTGTGGGAGGGGGCAAGTCTTTGCTAGAAATTGTAAAAAATGGTATTTTGAGTGATATTACTTCATGTATTTTAAAGAACTGATTAGTATGTTCTCTCTACAGTTGCTCTGTCAGCAATGAAAGCATCAGAGCTGTCACTAATGAATACTACTTAAAAATCAGCATTTTTAAAGCTATCTCACACTAAAACGCCATTGCTGATCCCTAGAGGGAAAACCTGAGTGGTGTGTATTGCTATGTGGCTGTGACTATTGATTGTTATTGACTTTTTAAATAGCTAATGCAGAGCCAAGGCAGCGGGTCACCAGGACAGAATTAATGATACAGTTGAATCTGATTTCAGAATTATTCCTTGTGAAGGTGCTAAATATTGGTAACACTCTTGTGTTAAGTACTTTTTCGGTTTGAGGCATATGAACACCTAAGATACCTTAGGTACAGCTCAGCTGCAGGTAGCAGTCACTCTACAAAGGGAGCTTGTGTATAATTAGGCTTCATCTGATCAGCAAACAGCTACGAGTTTTTCCTAAAGAGAGCAACAAATATCTTGTGTGCTCTGAGCTTGCTGAATAAACTCCTGTGCAATACTGAGCTCCCACTTAAAGGCAGCGAATGGCACTGCTCCCGTGGAAATTTGTAGGGGGTAAGTCCTCTCCACAACCAGTCTGTGTATGACTTTGGACAAGATGCCTGTAGGTTCATTTTCTACTACTTTCTGATCATTTTTGAAATGTAGACTCTTAAATTTTCAGATCAAGCATTAGCCCAGCTTATAAAAAGTAAGAATAATACTCATATACCGTGTTTGTCTCTCTGCTGCCCTGTCCTTTTCTGCCTTCATATGAAGATTAAGTAATAAATTAAGAGATTGAAGGAGTTTTTCTCACTAAACCAATGTTAAGTATGTAAAATCTGATATTGCTTCCTATATATTGATTAGATTTCTTACAGAGGGTGTGTATTTTTATTTGGCAGAGTAAATATTTCAAGGAACTGTCAGTTCAATGATCAAGGTTTCTCAACATAAGTTTTTGTGTGGGAGGCACAGAGAAATGGCTTCCTCTTTCTCCGTTGTAATATGTACATGCATGAATACGGACACAACGGACACAAACTGGAACACAGGAGGTTCCACTGAAATTTGAGAAGAAACTTCTTCTCAGTGAGGGTAACAGAGCACTGGAACAGGCTGCCCAGAGAGGTTGTGGAGTCTCCTTCTCTGGAGACATTCAAAACCCGCCTGGACGCCTTCCTGTGTAACCTCATCGAGGTGTTCCTGCTCCGGCAGGGGGATTGGACTGGATGAGCTTTTGAGGTCCCTTCCAATCCCTAACGTTCTGTGATTCTGTGATTCTGTGAAATACGTATGCATTTTAAAGTTTTTCTCCCAGTGTGGCTGGACATAGAAATTAATGGTTGAGTACATACATGGAATTATGGTAGCAATCTCACATAGATCCATTAATGCTTTTGTCAGAGGGTCCTATTAAGGAGATTAGCAAATCTAGTGAGAAGTTAATCTTCCATCTGTTAACGTCTGCGAGGTATCCAATTGCCACTTACAGAAAGCAAAAGGAACTGAATTTACTCTGCAAAGGTGGGACAATTTGGGGTGTGTCACTACCTACACCATCGGCGTTCATTATTTTTCTGATTATTTCAGTTGACTCTTGATCTGCCTGATATTTACAGTGTAGCACTTGCAAGGGGACTTCCTTAAAAAAAAAAAAATCCTTGTTACTCTTTCCATTATTCAGATGTTCAGTCACACTCCTTTCTTAGCCAGCACAGACAAACTCATTTCTAGAGGTAATGCTTTGGCACTTAAATAGAAGACCCACATTTCACAAATGCTGAGAACTCATGGACTGCATAAAGGACGTGGCAGATAGAGATAAAATTATACTTCAGGCTCTTTAGATGTTAATGGAGGCTTCTGTTTCAGCGTCTCTGGAAACCAGGCCACTTGAATACTGATAATAGCTGAGAGCTGTGACCAGGCATGGCAAACAGGGTAAGAATATACATCAAGCATGATTGGAGAACATCTTTGTGCTTCTGCCAACACCCTGCCAACACCCGCTACTGGCACTGCGGGGATCTGGCTTTATGAACTGTAAATGCTAAAAAACTGAAACAGCATGCAGAGAGTTCACTGTCCTGGGTAACGGGAAAAGAAATTGAGGAGAAAGGGAGGATCAACAGATTGATTCAGTGGAGTCAAATCAGGCATCCATTTATTAACGTCTACATTAGAATTCACGGCTTTGTTTTTTAAAAATCTCCATTTTCATAGTTCATTCTGTGGTAAATCAGTTACAGTTATTTCTGTATTCTTGACAGATCTTACCTGTTGCATCCCAAAGTGATTTGTTGATGAGTGTGTTGAAATGTTGTCCTGTATTTTAAGTTTCTCCCTGATGGGGTAAAAAAACGTAATAGGTAGAAGTGAAATGTACAGCTGACTAGGTAACACCATGGTATGGTTTAAAAAATACATGAACTTGAGGTGGTATTTTACAGTTCTTTATGATGATCTAATTGAAGTGCACCATTTTGCCAGGTGTGATGCCCACTGATGGTTCTTTCTTGCCCACCACTGTAGATGCTGCTGGGTTATTAGTGTGGCTCTACCCCACTGCACCTGTTAGCAGTGTCAGCTGGAAACCTCTCACCAGTCAGGGTTCTGCAAGTTCATCTATGTCCCCTTTCATGCTGCAAGCTTCATGTGCTTTCATGTTGCAGACTGTATTAGTTCAGACTGTCCTAAATCAAATACCTTGCAAATGAGACTAATCTCAGAGAAGGTAGTCCATGTGTATCGAAGCTCTAAGAAACTGCTTACCTGGCATATTTATTTATAGAGCACTAATCACCATGGTGCCTGGCACTGTCCCCTTCCACATTTACAACGCAGTGCTGAGCTGACATGCTCTTGCTTGCAGTCCTTGGATTAGAAGGGCAAAATGTTTTCGGTGAGGGGACGCTTTTCCTCCAGCCTTTCTCTGCTGGCCCAGGAGAACCAGAACTCAGGTAATTCAGTCTGCAAGGCCTCTGGTGCAAACCTGCCTTGAAGTTAGTGGCTGTTGCATTGCTGCACAGCTGGACTGACTTTGTGAGGTTTTATTTGTTTCTCACATAGCATTGGTGGCCCACTCATCCTACAAAGGAAGGAGAATTATAATGAGAAATCAAGTGGAAGAGTTGAAATACAGAAGTGACAGTCTGTAAATTTCACCTTTACTGTACTCTAATGTATGGTAGGATAAAATACAGGAAGGGACAAATTTTTAAAAATCGGGGAAATTATGTATCTCCCTTCTTGGTGAGTCGGTACTGTGAGAATGCAGCAAGTCCTGGCTCATTCTCCAGGTGGTGTGGGCCTATGGCTACCATGCAGCTTGTTCATGGAGTCTTTATGTAACCTGTACTGTAGTTAACACAAAGGGCAGTTTTCTGCTTGTTCTTTCTTCAGGATTGCTTCGTTTGCTCTGGCCTAGTTGTCACTCCTTAAACTCCCCACGCTTGTTGACCCTGGGGCTGAGCAGTCCAACTATACTGTGAACTCCTCAATGGCATTAAAGTCAGTGAAAGGAGAGTCCAACGCAAGTGGCAATCTTTGCCTCATGGTGAGATTTGGAGGGGAGCTCTAGACATGGGCAGAAGTTTTCTCCCAAGAAGGGTGATGTCCCGGGATGCCACAAGCAACCTGTTAATGCTACATACAAGATATCTGTTGATACTATTTAGATAAAAAATTGATATATTTTTATATGCAACCCAAATAAAACATGGTTTTCTTTAAAGCAGAAGTGCTTCTTCTGTCAGCTCCAATGCAAGTTTCACATGTTCCTGAAGGAAGAAGAAACTCTTGAGCTGTTTTACCTGCCTTGCTATGTTTTCATGTGTGTGACACACCTGTGAATTTCTGCCTGCAGGTCGCACTCTCATTTCAAACTCAAGTGCCAAGCGCGTCTCTGTGAGATGTGGACAGCATTTTGTACAGAAGAAGTCTGTGAAGGCAGCACAGACCCAGAGAAGTCCTTCGTTTTGGGCTGGCCCACCACAAACTGTGTGGCAAATTTCAGGTAAGAATTGAGATATGCTTTATTTACCAAGTTGCTAAAATTTTTTTGGGTAGTGGATTCATTTCAGCACCAGCGGATGTGAGAAGCAGGAACTTACTGGTTTGTCAACCAATTCCTTCTACTGCTGTAAGCAAATCACTCACCTTCCATGCCTCCTCTTCTGTCTCTCTGCAAATGTTGCAGTGAAACTCACTTATCACTTAAAAATCTGAGAAAATACATGATCTGGCAAAGCACTGTCTATGCTGTGAACTTGCTCAGTGGAAACTATATTTTTTATATATAATTTGACAAACACCTTGGCTAATTAATAAGATGAGCTACAGATATTAAACAGCCAAGTTAATGAAAGGATCAGAGGCCTTTGTAGGACACTTTTAAACAGAAGAGCTTATATTGGAAGTAGCAAAACACATACAGTGAAATACTGACCTTGTCCTAGTTCTCTTTTTAATTTAATTGTGCCAGAGAAAATGTCAAAATTCCTCTTAAAGCAGAATCTGAATTTTAACAAAGAGAAAGGTTTTTTTTTTGGTCTGTGTTTGCAGCATTGACTGTGGGACACATAAGGACTGTCAAGGTAATTTCAGTGATTAGGCTTATTTTAGTCTCAGCAGGAGGGCTCTGTCTTTACTTTGGGTAAGGGAGGGCACTGTCCCCCTGAAATCCCAGATGCTTAGCCACAGTAATTTGGCTGGGTCTTGGAAAATGCATTTTCCTCTTTACCAACAGAGAGCAAAAGCTGACGCATGCAGCTTAATTTGTATGTCACATTGTCCATGTCCAAAGAGAATGTTGTGCACAAACTGCTCTCTGTTGAGCTGGTTGCACTGTTTATGTTTTTTTCACTTAATAGTCCTGAAACAAAGCTGAAATTTTCTATTGACTTTCAATTGAACTCTTGCCAATAAACATGAGCTTTGATCTAGAGACAGTACATGACCCCTTATAGCTATCAGAAGGCAGTTGAATAGGAAAGCAATAGCTTCAATCCAAAGAGAGTCAGAGATTTTATAGAAGTGAAATTATTTTATGTCTGGAAGTAGACAGGAAGATCTAAAACACCATCCCTGAGTCTGTAGATGCATATCTGACAGAATTGAAGCAGCCAAAGCAGAGTCACATTTTTAATATTGAGAAAGTGCATTCCCCTCACAGTATCATTCAGTAGGTTTTTATTTCCCTAAATGCCTGCTCTGAAAATGTGAAGAACTTGATTTGCAGAAGCAGCCGTGAGAATAGCAGTTACTCCATCTGAGACAGGATTTAAATCAAGAAAGTTAAAGCAGAATTCGGTTAGATTCCTTGCACTATGCTATTATTAGCTACATTTAACCGGACAGTTTTGTATAAATAAGTGTATAAATGAGAGCAGCATTAAAATGTCCAAAGTTAAATCCTACTAAGTACAATGGGACATTTTTTTGTATTGTGGCTTATGTGTACTTTGTGCTGTGGTGATAAACCAAAAATCAATAAATAAGAAGATAATTAGAATAGTGAAAGTGGAAACAAATCTATATACCTGAGGAAGTAGAGGAAGTACCTTTAAACTTTTGAATTAAGCTCTTATTTTAAAGTGCCCTCCTCTTCTATTTGGACATTAGTTTAAGAACTCAACCCATTTCCTACTGAATCCACTGGTAAAGTTTTAACTTCTGTGATAAAAACTGGTAACTGGGGCTTTTGATCACCATGGCAGGCTTTTCAGTTGATTTTGCAGGGAAACAGATTATTCAAATCTGGAAAAACCATATCATTTTACCTACTTACTTATCGTAGGTATTTATGGAAATTGCAACCAAGAAGCAGTCCTTTCTACTGTGGTCTGTATAAGGGCTACTTTGGTATTAGAACGATGGCTGATTTGTCCCTGTTTTTCTATAATTCTTGCAGGTCTGCGGAACAAAAGGAGACATGGCTGTCTTTTTTGCAAAGGTACTTTATTATACAGTCTTTGTAGACACTGAAGAGAGTCCCAAACATCTAGACCAGTGATTCCCAAGCTGTAGTACCTATACCATCATAATAGAGAAGTGATATTAAGGAAAAAACCCATCTCTTGCTTTCTCACTGCAGAAGATGGTATGTGTCGTTCATGCAATGATCACCACACAAAGAAGGAAATGCTTCCCTGTGCCTGAATGTGGCTCAGCACAAAACTGGAGCAATTCCTGTCACACACGGTCCCTTCCCTATGCAAGTTGTAGGAGACTCTGCCACTATCACTCTTCTTGAGCCTGGGTCGATTTCCGTGGTGATGGCATCTAAGCTCAGGAACCTCTGCTCTAACCTATCTGCTGCTCATGGCTGGCTGTATTTTGGTCTTACAAAATACACCCCAAGCTGGAGGGTGTGGTGGGAGGATTTGTGTAAATAGAGCTGTCTTATTTCAGTCAGTGTTTGGGCAGAAAACTACTAGTGGTGGTTTTGTTTTCTGGTCACTTAGTTCTACTGGTTGAGGTTTGCGTCCTTATCTGATTCTTCAGAGATCCTGGGGTTGTGTAAATTATCCTTGCTGGGAATGATTTCTAATTCACCAGTCTCCTGTTCAGTCCTCTGAACTGGTCCGTACAGTGGGAGGTAACTGATTTCAGTTGGGGCCTGTAGTGCAGACTGAGATGTCACAATGATGAGTAATTTTAGCTTCATTTTTTAAATCCAGTTCCTCTGCTGCTTACACTGATTTCTACAATGAACTTTAATACAGCAGGGCACTACTGGGGGCCATGGTCAGCATCCCTTCCAGATACTGCTGGATGTTTTCTTCCTCAAAGATCTTTCTACTGCAGTACATCTGTGAACAATCTGCTTCTTATCCAGTTATTGTTTGATTGCTATTTAAATCTCCATCTTGCTATTTATGTTTACAACATTAAAAATTTACTTGTTTTGTACTTGTTTTGTCAGTCGAATAAGAGAAGAGAAGGAAAAAGACTATCCTAAAAGCATCCCTCTGAAGATAATTGCAAAGGATGTGGGAACTTGTGCATATGTAAGTGCTCTTGAGATAAATGGGGGTCTAAATCCACATCACCTATGAGTGCTGGTCACCTGTAAATCCTTTGGATATTGGGAGGGATATTCCTTTGGTTTGCAACCTCCTTTAAGGTTGCAACCAGCCTCTTTAAAAGACTCAGCATATACAGCCCTGAAATTTTGTTTCCTCTGTTTAATACATGAATTCCTTTTTAAAGACAGAGTGCTTGGTAAGAAATACTGGTTCTGGCACACAAACTAAAGGCTGTACAGTGTGAAGTCCCTAGAAACAACTCCAGCGGAACTTATGCATAAGCATCTTCAGAAATGCTACTACAATGTACCCTTTTTTTGCTTATAAAACTGATCTAAACCCACAGCTGCCTTCATTCAATTCCGCAAAGCTGCAATGTATTTTGTTGTTTATAATGATCATAAGTCAGTAAAGCTGTGTATATGAACACCCTGAAATTGCCTTAAGCATGTTTTTCATCAGTGAACTGATGTTGGTAAATTTATAGCACAAGGTAAATTGGTAGAATTGGTCATCCACAGAGTGATTTGCACCTTTTTTACTGTCATTTTTAACCAACTTAAACTAAATTCTTGTCTGTAGCCAGTTCCCAAGGGCTACCCTAGCGTTCAGTGATAATCCATCCATTCTTCCTCTGCTGCTTCTAAATTTGTCCTTTCTTTATAACTGTGCTTTTAAGATCTGTATTTCATGCTCAGAAGCCTAAACAGCATTTGCAAAGACACAAGAAATTTTTACAGAAGTCAGATTTCATTGAAGATTTTTGCCCTACAGTGTATCTCCACTCAGAATTCTGTATTTGCATAGGAATAACACAAAGGAGTCTGCCTTTTTTCCCAGAAAATTACTATTAAGGTAAATGATAATAGTTAGAATTGCCAGGTTGCTAAGACAAATGTTAACAAATAATATCGATGATTGTGATAGCTAAAATGCAGGACTGCAGACCAAGGTGTTCTCAGGCGTAAATGTCTATAAATCATACATGCACTCAGGTGTTGCACTCCTGTACCAGGGTTTGTTTGGGGGTTATTTTAATGGCTTTTCTCCTTAGCTATAATTAGCTCATGTGCCAAAAATGGTTTCCTGATCCTGACAGTACTAGAAACGACACACTGTAGTCTAGCTATTAACAGTAATAAAGCAGTGGAGGAGTAGATAGAAACTTTGTGACGCAAAATTGGGGGCTGTTCAGCCTGGAGAAGAGAAGGCTCCAGGAACACCTTATAGCAGCCTTCTAGTACCTGAAAGAGGCCTGCAAGAAACCTGGGGAGGGACTTTTTACAAGGGCAAGCAGTGATAGGACAAGAGATAATAGTTTTAAACTGGAAGAGGGTAGATTTAGACTGGATATTAGGAGGTAATTCTTTACTGAGAGTGGTGAGACACTGGCACGGGTTGCCCAGGGACGCTGTGGATGCCCCCTCCCTGGCAGTGTTCAAGGCCAGGTTGGATGGGGCTTTGAGCAGCCTGGGCTAGTGGGAGGTGTCCCGACCCATGACAGGGGTTGGATTGGATGAGCTTTAAGGTCCCTTCCAACCCAAACTATTTTATGATGCTATGAAATAGTTCTTATGGCACTGTGGTCCCTGTGCTACAGCAGCTGGAGATGCCCAAGAATTAATTCAATTTTGCAGAGCAGGGAAGGCTGAACACAAGACACAAACCATTTTATTATATTCTAGCCAAGAGCAAAACTTATGCAAATGTCCTGACCTACTCCTGAGAGCCAGATGCCATTGCTTCAGGCAAGTGTTAAATTTTTTATGGTATGAGCGTTCAGATATGTCCTGAAGCAAAATATACAGTATTCTCATTGCTTTCCTTTGATTGCCATGGCAGCTTGTTACTGTCAGAGACTTATACAAACGTACAGCTTAGATCTTTTCTAAATGCAAAATGTCAGGGGTTTTTTCACCTGAGCATCCTGTCGCAAGTATAAAATTGATATGCTACACAGGATAGCAGGGTACAGCAAACTGTCTTGGGAATGGCAGTGAACATTTACATCCCAGCTCTGCCACCTTCCCTTATTTGGGCCATTGGATACGCCTGGGTTCTTTGTTGCAGTGGGCGTGCGTTTATTCTGCCAGGGCTTTAGGCTAGCCATGAACCAGCTGTAGTCCAAAAGCTGTGTAGTCTTGTTAGTGGAGCCAAACCAGCATGCCTCTAGAAAGGGCTTAGTAAGTTGTGCTTGATGTGTGGGAGCTGCCTGGCATCTTGGAAGTGAGGCCAGGGTGGGTGTGATGGTGCAAGCAAAAACCACTCTGGACACGCTCTCCCCACTTGTTTTTGCCTCTGCAAGGTGGCGGCGGTGGTGCTGCCACATCTTGGCAGGGCTGAGAATGGAGTCATTCATCCTGGTGTGTTTGAAATGCGCTGCCGTGTGTAAGAGCAACCCATGGTACCGAGGTGCAGAGCATCGCCCAGCTGTGCAGGAGTGGTCCTTGTGCCAGGTGCTGAAATCTCACTCTGGAAAGATTTCCTTGTGGAAAGCAGCGCATCCTCCAACATGAAGCTTTGCACTTCCTGCTAGTCACTGTAGCTACTTAGAAAGCGGTGTTTCTGCTGATCCATGCTTTTCCATACTGCCAGTCAGCAATTTCTGGAGGATGCTGGAGAGGTAGCGTTTTAACTGGATGAAAGATTACCAAGAGGAAGAGTTTCTGGTACTAAGCCAGATCTAGCTTTGAGAAATCTATACAGAATGTGGATATAGGGCATATAAAGGATATAGAGATAAATAGCCGATGTACAGTATTTTCTTTCCAGGGAGATCAGTAGAAAAGGACAGAAATGATTAATAGTTCATATGGAAGCCTCCTATTTCACTGAAAAAACTCACTGAAGTGTTTCATTTTTTCAAAGGAAACTCGTCTGCTTTTATATTAATCAAACCTTTACATTTCCCTTATGCAGTGTCTAAAGGGCAGTTAATGGCTGTGTCTTTTTGCATATTTTAATGTGGAGGTGCTGTCGCCAGTAGTCATGGCACTCTCTCTTCTGATGGAGCCGTTGGGAAAGCAGGGAGCAAATACAGAAAGTGTGTGGCAAAGCAGAGGAATCAAACCTCTGTCTCAGGCTGTTGGGTCTTTATCTGTGTAGCATAACTTATTTATCAAGTAAAATTTTAACAGGATACTCTCAATTTTTTGACAATGAATTATGCAGAGCTATGGCACTTGAGATACTGTTTGCAAATCCATATTTTTAATGCCACTTTCTCCTTCTCCTCTTTTCTGTTCACAGTCGAAAACCCTGAGTGTAACCAATGTTGATACAGCAAATGATGTCATTCTCATGGCCCTGCAGCAGCTGGGAATTAACGTAAGTCCTTACACCAGTTTTAATGAGTCTTTTTGTAGTCACTTTTAATAATAAAATCTTCTCTTGCATTTTTTCCAAATTTTAGGATATGAACATTAATTAGATACTTTATCGTAGCAATTCAGTGCTGTTGAAGTGAAGCAGAAGTGCCTTGCTAACATATAGACCTCCAGAGATGGAATCATAGAATCATTAAGATTGAAAAAGACCTCTAAGGTCATCAAGTCAACCATCAACCCAACACCACCATGCCCACTAAACCATGTCCTGAAGTGCCACATGTACACGTTTTCTGAACACCTCCAGGGATGGTGACTCCACCAGCATCTTAACTTTTGAATAAGTCTCTGATCCCTGTAAAGGATCCATTGTGTTTGAAGTTGCTTTTAAATCTGTTTTGCTGATGCCTAAGTGGAGATATCTTGACATAAGAAGTGGGAGTTTGATACAGCTCCTTTTGCATACTTCAGTGTGAACAGAAAACCTACTGACATGCTTGTTAGTTGGTTTCAAACTGTGCAAACATGCGTGATCAGCTGTGTCCCCAGGTTACAAGTACAAGCACTGCTCTCAAGTGTCCAAATCAGACAGTATAAATAACCATGGGCCTTTAGTGTCATGAGATATGGATGCAACTGCGTGATCGCACAGAATCTGAACGCACCCAATTTAAGCAATGGCCTGAAACTGTTTGGAAAAAGGCTTTTACAGGACTTAAAATAATGCAGGATTGTGCACCATGTAGAGGTAGTGGTTCCTATTAGATCAAGTAGTGCCTCAAATGTCTCCCCTTGCTCTAAACCAGGCAAGGTGGTGCCTCAGGTGTAGTAATGAATCAGTGCCAGCAACATGAGTTCTTGCTCCAACCAGCACCAATGGTCATAGAAGCTCCTGGATGACAGCATTTTAACTGGCCTGTCAGTCTGCTGTTTGGGTAACAAATTTTTTAAAATGTCTGTCTTGATTCACATGTTGATCTCTTTGCATGGAACCTGACAAGTCTTTCCTTACTGCAGCCCTGAGTGTGAAGAGTCAAATATGACCAAATGCCACTCTTGTGCTTCCCTTGGGCTTCTGGAGACCCCCAGCAAAATCTGGAGTAACCTCAGAATTTGCCTTCCCTAGCACTCATGATCTCTAATTTATACAGACTTTTAACGCATCCAGGAGCCTATTCTGCTGGCTTGGTGTTTTCCAGGCACAGCAATTTCTGTCTGGCCTTCTTTTTGTGGCTCAGACGTCCCGTTTACACCAGGGCTGGGGCTCTGCGCCCAGCGGTTGGTCCCAGTAAGGTAGCTCTGGAGCTGACAGAGGGACTGCTAGGGGAATAAGATGTGAGTTAAAGTAAGGATTTCAGTTGCAGATTGTTTCCCCCAGTCTGCACCAAAAATCAAGAGACTATGCTATATTACAACTGCAAGTCTTTATTATGATGTGCTTCATTTTTATCCATTTTATGGATGTCATTTGCATTTCCTCATTTCCTGTACAGAAAAAAAACCAGGAAAATGGTAGTATTGGAAGAGAATATTTTGTTTGAGATGAGCAGGAGGAGAAGCTGGCTAGGTTTCAGCTTTCTGCTCTTTTGTATGTATCACAGTCAACCCTTTCCTCCTCATTACATTTTTATTTCAAGTGGAAAAAAGAATGAAAGCCATTTGAAAAGTGTGAAATCTTGCCTGCAGAATTATTTGCCCAAGTAATATACCACATTTTTTCACTGCATCTTTGTAGCATAAAGGCTTTTTCATTAGAGGCATATCAAAAGATTAGCAATAAAATCAAACAAGCTAAATAAATTAAGCTATAGCCTGTGTATCAATCAAACACCCAACCCCCTCATAGTATTGTTGTGACTGTGAGGAAGCTTTTCCTTATGCACCATCTTGAGGTTTTTTATTTATGTCCAGAGAGAACCACTTGAAAGGAGCTCTATGACTTCTCAAAGGTAATTATGAAAACTACATTTCACATGTTGTGTGATTAATGGGGCTATTACGTTGGCTGAGTTCACTCTGGTTTAACGCATCAGGGTTTTTTCCCCTCTGTGGTTTCTCTGGTAAAATGACAACTAGTTCGTGCAAAATGGCATTGATCATCTGTTCCAAATTACCAAGTGGGGCAGAAAGAAGGGCCTTGGGTTTCCCAGCTCCATAAGTACACTTGCTGATTTTTCTGAGACAGTCACATTTATACTGACAAATGGCCTCATAAAGCCCACAAAGGACAACATTTACAATCGAGAAATGAGCAGTCTGTCTCTGAAACCACGCTTACTGGCTCTTCCCCTTCCCCTGCTTCCCCTTCACAGCAACAAACCCTTTCATATATATATTTAAAAGGAAAACTAAATACCCTTTCTTGTGCTCCTCAGCTGTATTTATTTGCTCCTGGCTGCTTGCCCTGAGGCATCAGAGATGTCTCCAAAGCCTATTTATTTTCCTTCTGCCCCCTGCTAGCAAACTTAACAGCAGTGCTAATATGGGCCAGAAAGCTCTGTCAGTCAGAGAGCAAACTGTGAAGGCTTTATTGAGTGTATCAGCATTACACCGAGTGTGTGCAGCAAGGAGAAAGAGTCTCAAGAGCTTTGGGGACCTGGGTGAAGGTCCAGGCAATGCAGGATAGTAGGCATATCTGTTCAAAGGGAAGTAGGACTTTGTTTTAGAGCTAAATAAATACTGTCATTAGGTATTTATCACTTTTTGTAGCCAGAATACTTTTAGACTTTAATTATCCTGATTTAGCAATGTCACTGAAAAGGGATTTAAGATATAATAGATCACTTTTCATACAGTGTGTTTATCCACTTGCTACTACCCTTTATCCTGAGAGTGGTTTATGTTAAATGTCCTTCTTTTTATCTCTATTGTCTCACCATCATACTTGAAATAATGCACTGTTCTCCTTCTTCAGTTAAACTGCAACATTGAGTTATATATTTATGCAATATTTAGAATTTGCTTTCAAATCAGCAGTTTTGCACAGCTTTTCCCAGACATATTCACATTCTCCAATCCTCTGGAAATTGTCACCTTTGATGTAAATTCATCCTGGCCAGTGTGAATTTTAAAAGCGGGCTCAGCAGTCTTAAAGCACAATCCAGCAATCCCAGCCCTTCCACACTGAAGGGCTGCACAAAAGGGCTGATGGCAGCCCTACAAGGAGATCTGGGGGCAGCAGTGAGTGCCAGGAGCCCCTTGTGTGCCATCCTTGCTTCGGCAGCATCAGTGCAGGCTCAGATCGCAGGTGAAGGTGCTCCTGCCCTGCTCTCCAGCACAGGGCATGGGGTGCTGTTGGCTGGTGAGCTGGAGCTCCTCCTGCTTGCAGAGGACGTAGAGGAGCTGAGGAGATGGTGGAGCAGAGGTCTCAGGTGTGAGGCTGGGAGTGACTGTGTGCCAGAGCACGTCCTGGAGGATGCTTGTGCAAAGTATTTGACATCCCACACTGAAACAGATTGTCTGGAGAAGCTGTGGATGCCCCCTCCCTGGAAGTGTTCAAGACCAGGTTGAATGGGGCTTTGAGCAGCCTGGACTGGTGGGAAGTGTCCCTGCCCGTGGCAGGGGAGTTGGAATTAGATGATCTCTACAGAACCACAGAATATTAGGAGTTGGAAGGGACCTGGAAAGATCATCCAGTCCAACCCCCCTGCCAGAGCAGGATCACCCAGACCAGATCACACAGGAAGGCGTCCAGGCGGGTTTTGAATGTCTCCAGAGAAGGAGACTCCACAGCCTCTCTGGGCAGCCTGTTCCAGTGCTCTGTCACCTTCACAGTAAAAAAGCTTTTCCTTATGAAGGTTGAACCTCCTATGCTCCAGCTTGCAGCCATTGCCCCTTGTCCTGGCATTGGCTGACACTGAGAAGAGCCTGGCTCCTTCCTCCTGACACTTGCCCTTTACAAATTTATAAATTTTAAATTAATTTAATTTAAAATGAATTAAATTGGGTCCTTACTGACCCAAACCATTCTGTAATTCTATGGTTACTCTGGTGCTCAGGACAGAGCTAAAGGGTCACCTTTGTGAGCTAAAAGCTCACACGAACTGCCCGCTGTGTGCCACACGCTGTGCAGCCGGCCTCCTCTTCGTGCTGCTTATCTGTAATCCCTCTGGGGGATCAGACCTGTCTCTCCTTCGGGCTGGGTGCTGCTCAGTGCCGTCAGGGAGGAGTGGGGCACAGAGGTGCTGGGGGCCAGAAACAGCACCCATGCCCAAGGGTCCCTTCTGCACTGGTGGCTGCCTCATTTCCCATCCTCTGGGAAAGAGGAGGCACACAGGCTGGAGATCAACTCAGTGGCAAGGGTGGTCTGGCATTGTAATGTCTTGATCTGTCCTCAAAAACAATCATGAGTCCCTGGCAGGCTGTGGCCTCTGTCCCTCTGCTTCCAGGAGCATTGAAAGAACTGGGACAAATCTCCCCTTTTTCCTTCAGAAATGACGGGCTCCAGCCCCTCTCACTGCTTAGAACTGGACCTTGCTCACACAGACATGACAGACATGATTCAGAAGCTTTGCTGGTGGCAAATTTGGGCACTGCAAAAGTAAAGGGGGTTCCTTTGATCCCACTGGCAAGGTGTAGATTATCCTTATATTGTGAGAAACCTAATGCAAACTTGTTCTTAATGACTAACAAACTCATTCTTAATTTCATTTTAAAGGGCTCTGAAAAAGACTACAAGCTGTGGGTGATTTCAGGAAGAGAAGATGCTCCTTACCCTCTTATTGGTAAGTTCTTGACGTAGTTTTGTTTTTCAACATTCACTCAGTTTTTAGTGCTGAAGGAAGCAAGAAATACAGAGAAGGCTGAAATGCAGTTTCCTCTTTTCTTTTGTTTTTTCCCGTTTTTTCTCTTACTTCCCTGTCACGCAAGTTTGCCTGCTTGAGGAGAGAGTCAGATGTCGGGCCTTTGTTTTGAAGAGCAGTTGTGTCTGCTTGTGTCACGAAGAGGTTGAAAAAGTTCATTTGTTTTTGCCCCAGTTTTGCTGCATGAGCCTCAGTCTTTCTACAGCCTCCCCACTCGCTCACCTCCTCTCCTGGAGGTGCTCCAACTTTGCCATATTTCTTCCTACACTCCTGTAGTGTTGTTCACTCCCCTCCTCAGCAGAGTTTTGAGAAATGTTCTGTTCTTCCACAACTCAAATCAACTGATTCAAGAGGTCCTTTCCAATCCTGTATTTCTCTTAACTGGCTGACAGCTCCCCTCTGATTAGGAGCAAATTATTGCTTATTCGCCTTCTAAAATGCTTTTCGAAACATTTCCTCCCCAGGAATCAACCCACAGCTCAGAAGTGATTGGTTAGAGCATTTGATTTTGGCCCGTGATTCACTGAGAACAAATCCCTTCCTGTTATTAAGAACCTTTCCTTGTAGAAGCCTGGCATTACTTGTGCTGTATGAGTGCACAAATGATTAGAACAAGAAAAATTTGTGGATTTTCTGTTTGCCTCCTGCAAATCTAACCTCAGTAAATCTTAGCATTCCTTCTTAAAGCAGCCTTAGCTACAAATGCTTTACTGGAGTCGGACAACGTTAATATTTATAAAATGTCTAACTTGTGCACCTTATAGGCAGTGCAAACTGTTTTGTCTCTGAAACATACCAGACTTTGTCTTTCCAACTGTTATGTGTGGCTTCTTCAGATAAAATCACTGCCATGGAACCAAGGAATTCAGAAATGGGAAGGGCCTTTCTTGTTGACTGACTGTCTCACTGCACGGTCAGGTTACAATCTTTTGAAAAGAAGAATCTGGTATTAAACCGATGCTGTTCTTGATATTTATGCAAAGGTTTATCAGGTAAGACCAGCTTTTATCATAGGTAGACATCAGAAGCAGAGTTCGACTGTGCTTTGGCTTCACATTACCTATAATATCAAATAACATTTCTTCCACTATCAATGTTCAAGTGTAAGTGCGACTGAACTAAAACCTCTTAACAATGCACCCACATTTAATGTATTTCAACTGCCAGGTCTCTGAGCAAGTCCAGAAAATACCTGTGTGGTGGCATTTTTGAAAGCTTCTCCAGAAATGAATTGCCTCTGTGTAGTCCCCAAAGATGGTGGTTAATGCCGAGCACAGCTCATTTGCATTAGCCTTGTGATTAACCTTTCCTTCCTGTTTCAGCCTCAGACAGGAACCATAGCTGTGTCTGGTTTGATGGCGCTGATGGCTGTTGCACTTACCATGGAGAGGGAGGAAAGATCACTTTCACAGTGGATTTTTGTTTTTGCATGCTCAACAAAAATTTGACACATGACTGCTCCCAAAATCTCATTTCTCACCAGAATATGAACATCCAGTACCTAAACTCTCAGTGTCACAAGCAAAGCCGTAGAAAGAATAAACACTGAATTCAGAAATAGTCACTTGCATTTTTTCTGATGGTCTTTTATGTGATGAAACTGTAATGGGTCTGATTTTACTTTTACATCTGTTTAACTACACCAAACACAGTAACTCTGTATCAGCCAGCGTATGATTTATGCCTGTGTAAATATGCAGAAAAGCATCAATTCTGAGATTACTGAGAGAGAAAGTGCTGCAGGCCAGTGTGCAAAATCTGCTTTTCCTCCAAGGCAGATGGAGTTTTGCAAGTCTCCAATCAATCCAACACAGATTATTATGATTTCTCTTTGAACAGGGCACGAGTATCCCTTTGGAATTAAAATGAGCCACATCCGCGACGCTATGCCCCACGGATCAAAGCACTGTGCCTGCCCCAGGCAGCTTCAGGGGTCCTTCTTGACGGAGCAGCTACCCCAGGAGCTGCAGTGCCAGTTCGTGCTGAAGCCAAGCCGCCTGAACGTGTGCCAGCAGCTGAACGGTACGGCCGCCCCCTCGCCCCAGCATCGCTCACCCGCAGCCCTGCTGCCTCCCTGGCTCTGCTATAGAAAGCGAAATGTGCCGGCATGGGGGGGTTGATGGAAAGCAAAGAGGAGCGTGCAGATGTTCCTTCCAGCTGCACAGGGGATCTTGCAATGCAGCTCTCTCTGCTTTGAGCATGCTCTTGTATGTGTGTTATCTTTGTGAGTTACATTTTGACAAGCTGTCTGTCAAGTGGTTGTTCTAAAACCACCGAAAGAAAGACAAGATCTCTCCCCTGCAGTTTTTTGTAAGTCTATTAGCTGAGCTTTTCTCTGCAGCCCTTGCCATGCTCTGTAGCAAGGCAGAGTGGTTCTATGGTTCAGGAGTCATGGCTTGACTTCGGCACAGAATTCCCACGCAACGTTTGACAGCATCCTTTATCTCAACAAGGTACTTGGGACCACACACCTGCCTTACTGGGATCCTCGTGTGCCAAAGCCTAGGCAGGTACTTGAGTACCTAGATGAAGTGAGCAAATACAACTCCTTTATTCAAGTTCCCTCCGAGTAGAATGAAGACCATAATACTTTCTCCTGCCTTTGGCCTTGATCCTGCAAAAATATGAGCACCTGCTCTCTGTTTTGTACTCTGTTGTCAATGACACAATGACTGCTCACTGCTCATAAAACAAATGAGGAGATCTTTACAGGGTTGGGGCATTAAACTAAAAACTCTGTAGGGCAAGGAAGCATCCCATGGTGTGTTTTTATTGTGCTTAACACACTGACATAACTCAGCTCAATTAGGAACTCTGCCCCATTTCACCATTAATGCCTGTACAATAATGAAAATAACATATGCACACTGTTATCCTGTGCACTCCCCAATAGCTGAGATCTCCACAACATATGAATAGAATCCATATGTAATTTTGTTAGAAATTAAACATAGCAAGTGTATACCAGTGTCTATTACAAATGATTCCGGAAATTGGTGGCACTTTATAAAAATTAATTTCCTTTTGACACTCCTTCTCCCCCCAGCCCCCTTCCCAGTAACTTGTATCTTATATTACTTCATGGCATATTTTAAGAATGAGGCAATTTTGCAAAGGGGTGTAATTAGGTTTACAGGCCCCAGTTGGCAGCTGACGTTGACTGGCAAGATAAAATAGAAATGCAAATCAGGCCTGTAAAGTTGTAATGCAGATGCGTTTTCAGCGGTGCTGTGCACACCGCAGGAGGGGAGGCAAGGCTGGCTTTGGGGCACCAGAAGCCCGGGGCAAGCTGCAAGTCATGCCCAGGGACTGAGCTGAGTGGGAGAAAGAGGCTTTTAGTCCATTCACCTCTCCTCCTCATCAGACAAAACCTTTTAAAGCGATGTATAGGTCTGGCTGTTTGCACACTACATTATCTTGCATACAGCACAGTTCGTTGTGCTCTTCCTAACTCCTTTTCACCTCTTTTGGTTTTGGAAAATGGCAAAGGGTACCTGTGTGCGAGCCAAGGCTATGATCTGGCTTTGGGCTCAGCTTCAGCAAGGCAAAATCTGTGTTGTTGTTAGGTACCTCCTAGCACACCACCACATACAGGGCAAATTTACAAGGAGCGGACTCTGTGACCCCCTATTTCACTGCCACACACACTGTGCCATCCTCCCCCCCATCACTTCCCTGTAACTCCCCATTTCACGGCCACACATGCTGTGCCATCCTTCCCCCCCCATCACCTCCCTGTACTGATACTGCTGCACTGGACACACCATCCCTTCTGGAGGCAGCAAGGGGTAGCTGCCCTGTTGAAGCAGCAGACACCATGGTTAGGCATCCTTGTAGGTGCTGACAGGCAGACGTGACTGACCACTGGCTGTCAAGTCACATAAGTAGCTGTGTGGACACCGACCACGGTGGTGTAGCTGCATCAGCTGTCCTGGCAGGGTGGTTAAAAAAAGTACAGAAGAATTCACTGTGCGGAAGAACTGGGAGGGTTTCTGTTGCCTCTCCTGCAGTCTCTCAGCACGTAACAGGAATGGTAACCTACCAGTTAAACATAGCCATTAAGTAATGCTCATGAGCACATGGGTAAAAATTATTGTAAATAATGATTTGCTTGAAGTTTAACTTGAAAGAACTGACTCCTGTCAGTGGCTAGTCTGTAGTCCAAATTATTATTTAACTGTCTGTTAAAAGAGAAAGCAAAATTTCAACAAGTTGGTCTCAATAAAGAAAGGAGGTATTTGAAAACTGACAGTTACGCATTTGATCAGAAAGGATGCTATGCAGTTTAATAGATCTGAGGTTTTATTTAGAAGTTTCTGATTAGTTTTCAAGAAGAGGAAATGCCACTTGCATGGCTGGGACACTACCTATGAAAAGAAATTCCCTGCATGTAAAATATGAGCAGAATAGATGGCTGCTGTGAGCTCTGAGCAAGATCTGCAACTAAAAGTGTTGCTTTTTCTGATTTTGGCCTAGAATAATCTACCAGAGCAAGGCCCTGATGTTTTTGTATGGAAGTCCTTCTGCAAAGCAATAACTGGCATCTTGGCTGAGGGGAGGCCAGGCTTCTCCTGATGCTGTAACAGGTTCAAGAAAATAAAGTGTACATCCTCCCCTTCTCATCTGCTCTTTACCTTAAGACATCTCAACCGCCTTAGAAAAGGGGATAAGAAGAGTTCTCCTGTTGTTCAGTGAATGTTAATTTTGTAAGTGACATAGCATTTCATTGCTGTACATCAGTTGTTGGTTTCTGCCCTGGTATGCTGAAGAACAGTGATGGAGATTTCCTTCCTGTCCCAGGAGAGACCTGCAGTTAATCACAATTCCCCCTTGCTCCCGTTGCCAGTTTGGACCATGGCTTTTCAGAGTAGAGCAGGCAGTGAGAGACTAAGAAAAGTTCCTAATTTTAAGACCTGTTTTTTCCCACTTCTGCTATCCCTTGTTCTCCAAAATAGCATTTCTTCTTCATTTTTACTTCATTTTACTTCTAATGAGACCCAGAGAAAAACACCAATATGTATTTGCTGTTGTGTGACTAGAACTCCAAGTGAAGCAAACCATATTCACACGCTAATATCCTGCTCATATGAAAGAAAATTGTCATTTTGAAAGTTATAGGTTAGTTATGTTCTCCCAGAACATGATGTGTCAAGTAAAGCCTTAGACACTGCCAAGCTTATATTTCATGAAGCTTTGGACTGCTTAAAATGTGTATCCTCCTTAGTATTTTTTATTAAAATAATTTTTCATCAGGCTTTCACATTTTGAGTTAAATTGTAACTTTTCATCCTGTAAAGCCTCTAATGAAAAGATTTCCACCCATTCCCAAAGGGAGCATGATCTCCTAGAATGGAATGACGTATAACAGAAATCACTATTTGGGCTAAAAGACAAGTGTAGTAAAGTATAGGAGAGAAAAATCTGGTACTATACCACAGTCTTTACTTCTGCAAGCCTTGCTTCTACCCTCTGCCCTTCACAACAGCAGAAAGCAAAATGTATGACCGGGTGGAAGAGCCAGCTAATAGAAAGGTGCACAAGGTAGGTAAGCTCCTAAATCAAAGGCTTTGAAAATGTCTAGAAAAGGAAAAACATAACAGAATAAATTTTTTCTGGTTAGTACTTTCATCTTAAACACTCTCAACCCACCCTTGACAGGAGCCCATGCTGTTAAGGTTTTACACTGGCTGATGCAGAGAAAGGTCATATAAAAAAACCCCTTTTTCCTTTTCTATGCACTGCAAGTAAGAGCTCCGATTAGTGATGCTCTTTTGGTATCTCATGAAATATGTTAAAATAAATGAAGACAAACGGAGCTCATCAGTGTGTTGGCAGCATGCTGAAATGCCATCTGGAAGGCGTTGATTAAAGGGCAGGCACCATTCCTACGCCATGGTCAGCAAATGCTTGGAGTGAGGGTTTGTGGAGAAGAGCAAAGGCAACAACTTCTCCTGATCTGATAGTGTCTCACTCCTTTAGTTGATTCTCTGATGTTACCTGTGAGGGAGTGGGTGCTCTCCTGCATTGCCAGAGGAGCTGGGATGCCTCCAGACAACAAAAGTGAGGGCAGTGTTGTTTATGTATTAATCTTTTCCAAAAAGGGTCTGTGGTTTTGCACCTCTGAATGGGAAATAAGTTATTGAGCACCGTCCAGCTCCATGTGAAATCAGTGGGCTGAGGTTTGCCATCCCACATAGCGGTAAGTGCTGCTGTGGTCCAGCAGTGCACTGCAGATCTCAGTGATCCTCTTAAGAGCATGGGAAAGGCGTTTTCCACACACACACACAGGTATGTGCATGGTGGATTAGGCTGAGCTGGATGCCAAGGAGGTGGTTGAGTTCATGACATTTTTTCCTTTGAAATCATAGCAACCACCACAAAACAAATACTGGAATTAGAATTGAAATGCATTGCTTCTAATAAACACCTTTCTCTTTTCCCAGACTTAAGCCAAAAGTCATTTAAAAGGAAAAGGTCTATCATAAATTGGGCTTTTTGGCGTGGCCCAGGCACTCACTTGGACAACGCACCCCTCTCCTCAACATCTGCTGCTCCTGGGAAGCTCTTTGGCCTTTTGCTAACAGCCATCTGTGAGGATGACAACCTGCCCAAACCCCTCTTGGTGAGTCCTAGGCTCAGGGCTGCTTCTTACCGTGGTGGAATTTCTTTGCGTAATGAATGAGAACACGGGGACACTTTGTAAATGGGACACTGAAATTACCCAAGCGGCAAAACCAGAAGGAAACCTCATTTGTGGTTCTCAGCAAAAACTTTGGTTTTTAACGTGCTGTGGTCAGGCCTGGTTAATACCAAACAGCTTAAGAAATGTACGTGATCCATCTGCTGCTCTGGGCTATTTCTTCTTTATAAGACTGGTTCCCTAATCCTCACTTATACAGTATAAATAAAGGCCACATTCACACACAGTTTTTAAACCACTTCCATCTGTGTAAATTCCCCAACTCCATGAATGTGTCATCTACTGTCCTAGGCAGTCTACCCTTGCACACAAATGCTACCTGCCCTTAAGCAGTTTCAGAACCTTGTCCCAGGGCACACCAGCACTCTGAGTCCCTTGTTTTTGGTCTGACAGCACCACTGCAAAAAATAGGTGGGAAGGTGGAGACTGCAGGAGCATCTTTTCATCCTGTTGCGAAGGAGCACTAGTGCTGTAGGTGCTATCAAAACCAGGCCAGGAACATGAAAAAGGTTGTCCTAGAGCCCATTCCCAGGCATAATTAAGGCAGATGTGGGGCATTTTTTGTCAGGACTGAGGACTGCCCTGTTGTTGATGCAGCAGTTGAAACATCTACGGGATGGAAGTGAGCTCTGTAGGATGGGGCCTCTCATCCAGCCTGACTTTTGTCTGGAGCAACTTGCCAGAGCGCCACTGAAATCAGTGGGGTTACAGCAGTTTACAGGAAGAGGTGGTTTGTCTCCTAAGCTTGTGCTTGATGTGCTGCTTTATCACTGCCTGAATAGTGAATCGTACCAGAACTTTTCAGGTCTTTTAATAGTGTGCATTTGTTAGTGTCTTTTGAGGAGGAAGTGTGCATTTTTATCAGTGGTGTTATTTAAATAAGCCCTCCAGAGATGAACCTGTAAGAACCTGGTCTCTCTTCCTCTCTGTCTGAGAGATGAGCCAGTGCTGCATTGCAGAAATTTCTCCAAAACATAAATATTAGTAAATTTTTATCTGAAAAAATAGAATCACAGCTTGGTAGACTTTGTGCTTTGAATCTTAAACACTGTGTTTATGGCACAAAATATAACTTACTTTTGATTTCATGCAGCATCTCTGGAGAATGGAATACAGCATCTGAGGGACTATGGGATTTACCTGCAGGAGAAGGAAAATATCAGGGCTGACTGCTGCAGGCATGTTTGATACCTCTGCTTCAAACTTGCTTTCACAGCTGAAGGGCTCTCTTTTAGCCATTGCCACACTGAATTGTCTTACAGCATTAGCTTCATTTGTGTAATTCTGTCTGGGTTTACTACTTTAAAAGGAGCTTCCCAGTTTTGTCTTCTGGGTATTTTATTCAAAATATATTTTTAAAGCATTTGTTCATGTGCTAAGATCCCGTGCTGTCAGACTCGGCCTGTTTTGACAGCAGAGCTCTCAATCCCTGCAAAGAAAATGGAAAAGCTGATATGAGTCCTGCTGCCATGAAAGGTGCTCCTCCAAAGTGTCTGCACTTACATGAATGCTTGGCTTTCAACTTCTGCAAGAGCGAGAAAGAAAAGTTAAAGAAGAAAAGTAAAAATAGTAGTTTCCATTAGATTTATTTGCATTGCTGTTTGTCAGGAAGACCTACCTTACAGCCCAGGTTAGGAAAGTCACCAAACCCCACTGCTTAGCATTACTGCTACAGTAACTCAGTTTAATGATGACAGACTCTCCCCCAGTGTCCATTTTCTTGCCATTTCTTATGATAATTCAGTCCTCAGACCACTGTGTGCAGGCACGTAGTCCCAGAGACAGATTGCATGCGTTTTTCCCCTTGGAGGAGACGAAGATGACAGATTCCACGTTGCTTGGAGCAGGCCTGGGGAGAGGCCTGAGACACGACCCACGGGAGACTGCAGAGAATTAAGCAGCTGGAAAATATCATGTACATCTTACCTCAGGAGAGGGCTCTGATTTCAGCGTTTCCTTTTCTGCTCGTTTTCTTCTCCTATTTAGCAGAAGAAATTGGGCTCTCCTGTTATTTTAAAAGCTAGGCAGGAATCTGCTTGTTTTCTCCTTCCTTTTAAATATCTCATGTAGTGACCTGCCTGCCTGTTTACTCCTTTGCAGTCTCATTGGCTTGGGAGGAGCCATGAACCAAGCTTTGGCCCCCTCTGGGTGACCTCTCAGGTGGGAGCACCTTCAGGTGCTGCCAACAGCCCTGAACTGCTTGCAGAGTGTGATACTGCTCGCAAGAAGCAAAATGAGTAAAAATGTGAGTGCGATCTGCTGTAGAAGTGCAGCCACTGTCAGATGCAGACCTTTGGATTATGGAGACCACTCTCCATTTCCCAAACCACAGTGTTTCTGTGTTTAAATGACTTGGCTAAAACTTGAACAGATCCTGCAATCACGCAGGAGGTCAGTGCTCAGCAGTGGCAGCACAGTATTTCTGAGGGGATGTTTTCCAAAATCTGTGCGCCAAACCACAGCTTTGCTCTGCAGTTTGGCGTGGCTTGGAGGATGAGCCTTGGCTCGTGTTTGATTTGCGAGCTGTTTTAGGACTCAAAGGTTTTCACCTGTGACGAAAGTGGCAAAACTACATTTTAATGGCATCTAACAGTAAAATACATTTCTGAGAAAGCCTGTTTGCCTTTTAATCTCATTTAGGACATGCTTTCCCTCCTTTACCAAGAGGGCCCTTCCACCGAGGGCATTTTCAGGCGCTCTGGAAGTGCAAAAACCTGCAAAGAGCTCAAGGAGAAGCTTGATTCAGGTGCTGAAGTGGACCTGGCCTGTGAATCCATATTTGTGACAGCATCTTTGTTTAAGGTTTGTGAAGGACATTCCTTTCCCCTTTTGCGGGACTTACACAATTACTTTCCTACTGGTGGGTTTAGGACATGCATTTAGGGCAGGCCAGCTGCACCATGCAAAGTGCTGGTTTGCAGTATTCATCCCATGATAACAGTTTCACTGTGGGGTGATTGCTTAGCATTTATCACAGTGAAGACTTACCACGTGAGAGCAAATGTGTTACTCATCTGCACCATAGCTTCCCTTACCCTGGCTGGTTTGGAAAGTTACTGTTTAAGCTTTTTCCCAAGTTGCAACAGTTTGCCCACTGGTATTAGGAAACAGGAGCAGCGAGATTATCCATAACTGGTATAAGTACTTCATTACTAAAGGATTGAATAAGGGAAGGAAAATAGGGTGCCTTGGGGCACTTATGGTCTGTTAGTATTGGAGGTTGTCAGCTGAGGAGAAGAAACGGGGTCTACAGATGAAGTTAAGTGGTAAGTAAAGACAGACATTATGCAGCATCAAAAGAACTGGTCCCACAGCAGATTTTTTAGTTCAGCAATAGCAGATAAAGCATCCTTCTCTATTTTGAAGGAAAGGGTGAGGAAAGGGCAGGAAAATGTTCAGTTTAAGCATAATCCAAATTACTTCTTTATCTCCGCTGATTTTCTGCTGGTTTTGGTTGCTGTGTGTAACAAGATACTTGTCAGCGAGTGCTGTCCCACTGATACATCCTCTTGTATCTTCATAGTTTATTCATATTCCCTCCTGCGCTCCAGAACAGCTGTTCACATGTTTTCTTCTTTTTTCTTGATAAGGATTTTCTTCGCAACATCCCAGGAAGCATTTTGTCATCCCAGCTCTGTGATAAGTGGGTCTCTGTGATGGATCAAGGAAATAATGAAGAGAAGATAAAAAGCATCCAAAGGTGGAGTTACTTGTATTATCTATATTCTTTTTTCTTTAAATTTGTATCCCAGAATGCAGAATCCCAAACATTCAACTTAAAACTTGCAATTAGTTTTTTTTCAATAGATGCTGAAAATATCTTTATCTGTGACAGAGTATTTAAATTTACATATATATTTAAGGAATTGCCTGTATGGGACAATTTTCTAACTCTCTTTTTGTCTTGCTTTTCTGCTTTTTGTGAATGCCAGTAAATAAATGAAATATACTTTCATTTAAAAAACATTCATAATATTAGTAAATACACCATCCAAGACTTGGATTTCTGCCTGATACCAAACCCAAAAATAATCTGCAGGGAATTTTGGAGTCCTATGTGAAAGAGTAGCTGAAATCTATTCCTCATATTTTCCCCCTCATTCATCTCAAATTTTAGTGACCAGCTTGAAGCCAAGCTGGAATTGTGAATGAAATACTGGAGCATAATGGCAAGTGAAGCCTCCACCCTTGCAGGTGATAGAAAACAGAAAGTGGGCAAAGTATATGTCATGGGAAACAGAGCTTTGTACACAAGCTGACCTCCTGCGTACTTACATACATTATGTATACTTATGACAACTAGGTGGCATGGAGAGACAACTGAACTGTTTGATTAAGTGGACAGTGAATTACCAGGCAAGTTAGGTGAAGTACAGTTTCATGCCATACATTTTACTTGGTTCATTAGTTTGACAGAGAGTAATTTTAATTATGTGTTAGGGTGTTTCTGTCCTCCCAGAAAACTGTTCAGAGATGTGTCACAGTGAGGGAAAGCAACTGAGCAAGAACACCTCTTTGACACTTCCTCTGGCATAATTACTGGACCATGTTACCCTGTTTCTGTATTTTCATTATCTTGACTTGTGTATATCTATGGAAAATGGACCCTATTTTGTCCAGTCACTAATTTGAAGAACTACATTTGTGTATGTTTTCAGGTTAATAGAGCAACTCCCCAGAGCTAATGTCGTTCTCTTACGTTACATCTTTGGAGTCCTGCATGGTATAGAAATGCGATCTGAAGAGAATCAGATGAATGCATTTAATTTGGCTATCTGCATTGCACCTAGCCTGCTCTGGCCTCCTGTTTCCTCCACTCCTGATGTAGAAAGTGAATTTACAAAAAAGGTAAGAAGGGGTGGGAGACCATAAAGCAATACCAGGTACATTAGCAAAGTGCTTCTTTCATCAAAAAGATCTCCAGTTGTGGTGGCCTTGGAACTGGACAGAGTAGAAATAAAAAATATGTGTAGAAGGATGTATATTGGGACATTTTTGCTGGGTCTACCTGTTTTCTTCAGGCCTAGGAGATGGGGAGAGGTGTTCCTGGCTGTTGGGGGCACATCTTGGATGGGCAGTTTCCTCCTGTTCCTCATCTGTGTGGTGAGCTTGCCCTGAGCGGGGTCATGGAAGATCTGACAAGACATCTCTCTCTCATTGCTTTGTTGCAGATTTCTAGTCTGGTCCAGTTCCTCACTGAGAATTGCTGCAGGATTTTTGGAGAGGAAATTACCTCCCTCTTTGGAGAAATACTGATGACATGTAAGAGAGAGAATGGCTCAGGTAATACAGGTGACGTCTTGCTCCTGTTAGACAGCTAAACTCAGCCAGCCAAAAGATCAGTATATTCCATGGAAGAATGCTGCTCCCCTCTCCATGCAATGGTTCCAGATACTGCTGTTCTCTTTCCTTTGCCCAAAGTACTGGTGACAGTCACTGATTCAACTTACTGTAGACTTGGACTGTATCACAAAATATCTCCCAAAGAGTCCTTTGCTCCTGCTCCAGTCATCTGAGCCACTATGTTAAAAAAGGGAGAAGGGGGAAACAGAAAGAAAGAAAAAAAATCTGGAGAAGGTTTCATCTCATCTAGAATTTTTGCCCCAGCCTATGTTTTCCCAGAGTATTGGGAAGTCAGCCATCAGCAATGGCTATAATACACCTGTCACACCATTATATTAGAGCTGAAAGCAGCTGCTCTTCATTATCAAAAGAGAGAGTTCTCCAGACATGCAAATTTTGCTCCTAGCACTGGAAATTCATGGAACTGGGGACTGAAAATGTCTTACAGCCCAGTTGGCAGAGCATTCCAAGTATCATTAATGCTCCTTTTACTCTCCAGCCCTGTGATAGTGTTGATTTTGACTAGAGTTTTGAGTCTCTCCTTAAAAGAATTCTAAAGTAGCATTCCTGTAAAATAAATTTTGTCACAGTTGGTCTATACTGAAAGTGGTAATGGCACTTGTCCCAGCATGCCAGACTGACTCAGTGTGGCCCTCTGAAACTCCTCCTGCTCTGCCTCCAGTGAAATGTGGTGAAATTCAGTGAAATCAGGATCTGCTGTGCTGTGATATGCTGGGACTGAGAGCTCAGATCCACTATAGGTTACGGCAGTTGAGCAAGTTTTCAAGCCTGCACTGAGGCATGGTGAGTGCCCATGCGTGAACTCTGTCTGCTGCAAATGTGAGATAATTCGGCTTAGCATAGCCCAGAGCAAAAGAGATTTAATGTAATTCCAATTATCGCCTATGTGGAACAGGGCCCAGGTGTGCAGTGCTCAGTGGAAATGAGGTGACTATTTAAACTCAGACTAGAACTTTCTTTATAGTGCTGCTCTTAAAAATACTGTAATTTGTGGAAGATAATAAAAGTACAAAGTATGCCCCTATTTTCTTCATTTGTCTAAAAGAAGGAAAGAAAGGTTAAATGCTGCTTTCACTATTCATTAACAAAAAGAAAAAAACCAATTAATTACAGATTTAGTGTACTGCATGTAAATTATCATTTACAGCTGGATTACCTACTATTAAAGTTCCCCACTTAAAAAAAAATACAAAAAACCCCTAACCCTTATTTGTGCCATTATCATATGCTTCTTGACTGAACTGCAACTTAGCATTCATTTCAGGTTTTCCATTTCAAAATTAGACAGTAATTTTTTCTGAAATTACTGGCATTCATGCTTGAAGAATCTTTAAAGGGTGAATGCTCCTGAAAGTAAAGGATACTTGCCAAAAAAAAATGCAGCTGCTTGTCAGCAGGGTGTTTCAGTCCCTGATGTGTTAACACATGGTTTGTCCTTGCAGATGCTGCCTCCCTCCATCTGAACGACTCTTCCTACGACAGCCTGGAAAATGAGGCGAATGACGAAGCCGACTCCTCTTCCAGTGACTGGATTAAGAACCGAGATCAGGATAACAGGAGCAGGGAGTCTGTCTTCACGCTGAGCGACGGCGATTCGGAGCAGACAGAGGTGGATGAAATCCAAAGTAAAGCCAAATCGAAACAGTTGACAATTTCTGTTGATGTGCACCGTAAGTTTTCATCCCAAGAGCGCTTGGAGGATGAACCTCTTTGCTCCAGTGCACTGGGCTTCTCTTCAGCAGCTACCTCAGGCACTCTCAAAACCTTGAGGAGACACAGGCGCTCCTCTGAGCCAGCAATTGGCCTCCTCGCCCCCAGCTTTGCCCGCACTGGTGATGGTCATGAGAAGGCGGCACGCAAAGCCAGCTGTGACGCTGTCCTGTCTCATGAAGATGAAGACTATCTCCGTCAGCTTCGGTCACTGCAAATGGAGGGGCAAAAGCTTATAAATCAGAGCTTGATTATAGGAATTAGTGTTGGTAAAAGTGACAACACACACCGAAACGTTGAAAAGAAAGACTCTTCCCATTGCCTCCTGCCTCCAGCGCCAGAGGGATTAAATATTTGCTCAGGATTTAGCTCTTCTAGCCTGTCTTCTCCTGCAACGTCTCCGTCTGTGTCGTCAATGAGCTCTCTGGACAGTGCTTTCTCTCAGTTTTCAGACCAATCTGTGTTTACCCCAACCGAAACTTCCTGCCCTTTCGACAGCACTTTTCAGTCGCTAAAGAAACACGAAGACGCTGCCGCTGAAGCAGCTGATGACTTTTTGGTTAAACCCACCAGGGTGCCGCCATCCCCACAGCCGACCGACGCTTTGGCTGAGGGGGGCTTGGTGGAGCCCAACAGCAGGCCGGCGCCCCCAAAACCTGCTGACAGAGTCAAGGGCTATTTGATTAAGCCTGAAATCCAGCCATTACCCCTGAAAGTCACAGGAAGAGACAGACTTCATGATCCGAGATTGAAGAGGAGGTCTAGAAGAGCATTACAGCAATCCAAAGTTTGAAGAGACTGAGCAAAGCTTTTTTTGCGGAGGAATCTTAACACTTAAAATAAACACCGTAAAGAAAATGCCTTCGGTGTTAATGTGTGTTCATTTTAAGTCTAATATCCAGGTTGTTCAAATTTAATTGAGCAGTCCCCGGATTCACACGTTTTCTTTTTTTAGGAAACTGTCTGAGTAACGTTCCTACATAAAGCTTTGCAAGAACATTGTACAAATAATAAAAAACTGCTAAAAAGGTCCCAGGAGGTAATGGAGAGCAGTGCCCCGTTCTCTGAGCCTGCCAGGGCAGCAGGGTCCTGCCGGGCCTCTGCTCTTGACCACTTGAGTGTTGAGCCTTGCGGATGTGAGTCCCAGTCCTTTGTGGTTTTGATGTAGTGTGCAAAGTCAGCGTAGATTCCTTACCTGTGGTAGTATACTACTGTTCTGAGACTGATAGGTATTACCTTCACTGTCCTCCAAGGAGTAAGTGTATTGTTTTCTATATGTTTATAAGGTATGTTCGATAGGTGTAGTTATTTCTTTCACATTGCAAAAGAAAGAAAAACAAAGCTCAAAAATACGTGAAGAGAAGCGCTGAAGTTTGTAACTAACACCTTGCAACTCCGTGTGTTTCATTTATTGTGCTTCGTTGGCTGTTCTGTTCGTGTTTAAGTTGTGAATAGTTTCTTAACATTGCTGTAAATGGCATTATGTATTATTGCAAGCAGAACACATGTAATTTTATTATGCAGCATCTAAAACATCATATAATATATTAAAAGTAATGCATTATCTAAATGCTTTGAGTTTGTATAATATATCCTGATAAATTTTGCTATTATATATGTTCTGAAAAAAAATGTGTATTTTTGTACTTGCAAAAACTGCTGCTAATTTTACGAGTTCTGTTTTGTTGTTACAGCACTGGTATTGATGTGTATGCATTCAATGCTATATATTAAATATTATTTGTTATGTCATAAATTCAATTTCTATTCTGCATAATTTTTTAGGTGTCAGTTCCACAAGCTATTGCGGTGATGCCACTGGAAATCGTGTGTGGGGAAGGACTTGCGTGAGGAATTTTCCTCCTCTTTGGGTGGCATCATTCACATTGTATGTCATCACGCTGTTAACTTTTCCCAGTTTTATTCATATTCAGACAAGAATTCCTACCCTTTGGCTCTTCAGTGAGAGAGATGAGGGTGTTCTCAGCTAATGGGATGCAGTTAACAATATGGAGGTGCAGGGAGGTCTTTTTAGGTAAGAAAGAGATACGTAAAGGGTTTTTAGCTCTGTATCAGACAGAATGGACACTCTCCAGCAGATCTGGGGACTGGGGGGAATGCGTGTTAACAAAGTTAGAAATATCCTTAGTTGAAAGTAGAGAATCAGAAGGTTATCATTTTGGGCTTGAATCCTGCAGATGTGGTATCTGTAAGCAGAGCTACATTTGTGGAGGTCCACGTAAACTGTCATGCACTTAGAGCTATACCAGCATCTATAGTTGTGTGCAGGCTCACAGACTTCACTGCAGTTTCTTCTTTCTCGTATTTTTAATATTCTGCTGTTTTAATGAAAATGGTAATGTGAATCTGATCTGTAATGGTCGCCTTCCAGAGGTAGAATCCTTTGTATGTATTTTGAGACCTGCCATCTAATAGCCCTACATATGCACCTCCCTTAAACAAAAAAAAGATGCTATTTTGAAATAAAACAGCTACTCTGCATTTCTTTTTGAAACAGTACAAAGGATATTGCCCTGCTGCCAAGATTACATCAAGTAGCAAATGCTGATTCATTGCAACAATAATAAAGCTTTCAAAAAATCTCTGGTCTCTGCAATATAAATGTTCTGTCCTACAAATGATATCTTCCAGCAAGTCATTTATCTTTGCTAGGCTGAAGGAAAAGTATATCCAAGAGTGCTTCGACGTGAAACAAATGATGTGTCTGCTTTTGAGCTGTAGCTAATGCTAGAGTGCTTTCAGCTTTAAACAGATGGTGAACAAGCTGGATGCAGACCCAGTATGATTTCAAATGCTCTCCTGTCTCAGAAGACGTACAGCCCGCCCGCCACTGCGGGAGGTACCTTCTGCAGCCATCACAAAAAAAGGGCGCTAATGGAGAAGATCACTGTCTGCAACTCCTTGCTGAAGGAATTAAATGCTGTTAAGATCCAAATTGAAGTAGACTGAACCTTTTCAGGTGTCAGGTGTGACTGAAGACTGCAGCAAGCAGCAGCGTTGGGTATCTGGCTGTTGAGCAGCCATCATTTAATATGTGGGGGTCCCTGCTGCTCTCCTCCCCTGGGCACCCCCATGGGCTGGGACAGGATCTCTGGTCCAGAACATATTAAAAAGAAAGATTAATAACTTCTTTTATGGCTCTGCAGATGGCCTGTGAGAAGGTGTTGGGGTAAGGGTGGCCCTGAGTCCCAAATTCTGCCCCAGCTCCAGCTGGATGCCCCAAACGTGGGGGTCCCTGGTGAGGTCCTGGCAGTGGAGAGGGACTGCTCTGGGGGAGGTGCCCAAGTTTTAGGGACACCTGGCAGATAAGATGTTTCCAAAATGTTTTCTTCTTTCTTGGAGCAGCAAAACCTCACAGAAAAACAATGTAATAGAAAATTACTGACGTAGGAAAGAAAACAGTGGCAATGACTTCTCGTTCACTGCCGGCAAGCACACAAAATGAAGCAAACTGACAAATCACCTCTCACACTTGGACTTTCTGTCCCACAGGGGTTCGTGATCTCATCGTTAATGAGCCTCCCGCCTCTGTTTCACAAGTACTAACCAATTCCTTTCAGGTAATTCAGAGTAATATAATGTAAATTTAGAGCAATTTGTTGTCAACCTGCATTGAAAGTGTTTGCCTTTTTTTTAGTCCTGGTGAAGGGGTCACGTGCCTGAAATGTCATTGTTTGGGTTTTTTAGGGTATTTTCTGCGGGCTTTTCAATTTTTAACCATCGGTTTCATAAATGCTCTTACTTCATCCCTGCAAGCTTTCTCTCTCCAAGACATCCCAATTCAGGATGATATGTCAGGATATATGATATGTTCCATCTATTTCCTGCTTAAACCATGTAGAGTTCAAGCCACATAGATCATAGGTCCTGGGGCTGCAGCATGGCCTGAAGGTGTCCCTCTATCCATGCCTACAAATCCTCAGAGTTCTGTTAAGCTCCCTTCTTGTTCTGGGGACATATGAGGCTCCCCTGGTGGTCGACCTCTCATTTCCAGCTCTGCTCCTGTTCTGGAGGTGGCTTTATGGGAACTCACAAATATATGCACATGGCGAGGCTGCTGTGACCCAGGCACACAGATATGCTTCTCGTGCCTTACAGGCTGACCCGAGCACCTGCAGCACGTCCAGTAAAACCTCTCAGAACTGGACCTATCAACCTCCCCTCATTTTCATCCATAAAAACACAGGGGCATGGCATAATCAGTGCTGGAAGAGGCCTCAGGAGGTCTCTGGTCCAGCTTCTTGCATGTCCATGCAGCTCACATCTGGAGGAGCGATAGAAACACCCTGGCAATTCACTGCTATTCATCATGGCTGGGGAAACTCAGCAAAAGGTAGCTGGCTCAGACAGCTAATTACAATCTATTGGAACAGAGGAGTATGATTTTTTGCGGAACTCGGAAAATGTCTAAAAAAACTAGGAAAGGCTGTAATGTTACACCCAATCTTCAGGTTATCGCAGTAATCTTTTATAATAGGACCAGAGACTATGATACACGTTTTCATAGAATCACAGAACGGTTTGGGTTGGAAGGGACCTTAAAGCTCATCCAGTCCAACCCCTGCCATGGGCAGGGACACCTCCCACCAGACCAGGTTTCCCTCACTATTTAACATCTCCCAGTATCCTGGATCCGAAATACCTGAATACGCATAAGGAGACAGCATTGATGATGGACAACCTCATGCACTTGCAGCGTTTTGAGGAACCATCTAGAGGAGACTCCAAGGCATGAAAGCCAGACTGGAGGCTTTTCCCTCGCCAAGGGCTGAGCGGCCACGTTGAGCCTCATCCTTGGCATTTGTGCAAGGCCACTTCCCCTCGGAAGCGCCCTCCGCTCCTGCCAAGTGTAAGAGGCAGTGGAGCGTGATGTCTGCTGGCTCCACGGAGCCCTGAATAAACACGGAGGGCAGCCAGCCAGCTTGCTCATTCACAGAAACGCCTGCCCGATTTCACTTGCTCTCAAGATTCGTTACCAACGTCTCTGCATTGAGGCCACCATCGAGCTAAACTAATTGACCTGCTGGTGTCCAAAGGGGAGGACTCTTTGGTTAAAGGTGTTGAATATTTCTGTTAGGACATGGTTGACACACAGGGCCTCGAGGTTTTGGACATCAGTTGTGTTTTTTAAATGTGCACAATGCACTGTGTAATGATTTTTTCCTTGATACTAGGTTTGCTCCAGGCCTCATTTTGTCTGAGTTTCGTAGCGGCTCCACTGCAAATGTCAGCAGTTCCTTGAGGACAAGTACTGCGGTAGCTGCTGCCAGTTGCATTAAGTTAAATATTTCAGAATTTAGCCGTTCAGTGACCCTATGTAGCAGAGGTGTTTTCAGCAGAGAAATTATTTCTCTGCACTTGATTCTCTTGTCACAAACCATTTCCATCAACCTGCTGCAGCTCTGCTCTCAGCCGTAATTCTGATGTGACCACTGAAGGCAAGGCTCTCCTGCTCTTCCTCTTCTTCCTCCTCCTCCTGGGTAGGGAGAGCTTCTGCAGGGTGTCCTGCTGCCCCGGGGCTGGGACAGGCAGGGGGTGGCAGAGGTCTGCCAGCCAGGGAGGGCAGGGGCAGGGACAGGACCACACTGCCAGCTTCCACTGGGGCTATGCTGTCCCGGCAATAGGTTCAGACAACAAGCCCCTCATGGTGAAGGCTGATGAAGCAAGGGCGACCCATGGAGAGCACCCACTGCTGGTTAAAGCCTGGCCATGGGAACATGGAGACCCTCCAGGGATTAGGGGGCAAAGCTGGGTGCAGGATCTCAATCACCT